AAAGACTGAAGTTGTCAAAGACTTCACATTGCTTGGTTCTATGATCGATGCCAGGAGCTTTGGTAGCGTAGTGCCTAAGGCACTTGACTGCGAACCAGAAGGCTGGTGGTTCAAACCCACCAGTCACTCCTCAGAAAGAAGGTTGGGCAATCTACTTCCGTAGTGATATCGCCTTGGAAACCCAAGGAGGGGTCGCCATGAGTCAGGTCTGACACCACGGCACATAAAAATAACAACATGATCAACACCAGTGGAAGCAGCAGTCAGACATCAGATGATGTGTAGTACTGGGCAAGTCGGATGGAAAGGACCTCTTTCAAGTGATGAAGATCAAAGATATCTCCTTGAGGACTAAGATGTGCCTGACACAAGCCATATTTTCAATCGCCTCATATGCATGTGAAAGCTGGACAGTGAATAAGGAAGACTGAAGAATTGATGCTTTTGAGTTGTGGTACTGGTGAAGAATGCTGAAAGTACCATGAACTGCTAAAAGGACTAACAAATGTGTCCTGGAGGAAGTACAGCTGGAATGCTCCTTAGAAGTGAGAATGGTCAGGCTTCATCTCACCTACTTTGGTCATATTGTCAGAAGAGACCATTTCCTGGAGAAGGATGTCATGCTTGGTAAGGTGGAGGGTCAACAAAAGAGGGGAAGGCCCTCAACGAGATGGACTGACACAGTGGCTGTGGAGATGGGCTCAGGTACAGCAAGGATCATGGAGCTGGCGCAGGACCAGGTAGCGTTTCATTCTGCTGTGCAGAGGATCACTATGAGTTGGAGATGACTCGATGGCACCTAACAACAACAACAACAACGACTACTACAAAAGAAACATCATCCAAGCAGACTGTGAGGTAAATGCTAAAAGGTATGGAAGATCATAAGAAATACATGAAAAGAGCTGTTTATTATTAGTTACATTAGACAACTACTATATTTAATTATATTCCAAAACCAAACTCACTTGATTCCAACTCATAGTGACCTTATAGAAGGACAGAGTAGAACTGTCCCATAGGGTTTCCAGGACTGTAAATCTTTACAGAAATAGACTGTCTCATCATTCTCTCATGGAGTGGCTGGTGAGTTTGAACCACCAACCTTTTGGTTAGCAACCTTTAAACACTACACCAGAGCTCCTTTTAATTATAATTAAATAAGTAAATCATCATAACCTTAGGAATGTTATTAAAAAAACTGTATTTATCCTAGTTTGATATACATTGTATCTGTCACCATGACGATACACTGTATATTTCTTTCTTTTTAAAATTAATAGAACCCAGAAGTTGTACAGTCTGTGTATAGGGAGTAACAGCAAGGTAATTCCCAAATTTGAAATTGTGGATAACCTTAAAAAATTAGTGTAACCTACTGAGAATGAAATTAGGCACAAAAAGCATTTGACCCTAAATATTAATGTATAAGTGGGCAGCTAAAGAACTTTTGAGACTTTTATAATTTTGTCTACTGAGAGGTGATCTTTTGTTCCTCCAATAGCACAGCAAAGAGGTCCATGGTCATGCCTTGAGGTTTGGACAGTAAAACACTATATTCACTTACTCTGCTGACCTTTCTCTTGACACAACTGCAGGTACTTCCTTTACTGTAATAGTCTTTCTGCTTTAAGGTGTAATTTGTGTTTCTCATTAAGACTAGTTCTGAAACCACAGTTTCTGCCCATGCAGGCTCTAACTTTGAACTGCAGAATCAAAAACTTCAGAGCCAGAAGAATGCTCTGGGATCATCCAGTCAAGCGCAACTCCCTCATCTTACAAGAGAAAAATGAAACCCTTGAAGTCATTAAATTAATAACTTATAAGTTAGTGGCAAAAAAAGTATAACTAAATCCCAAATTACTTGGATAATAATCAAACCTTCTCTATATTACAGTAAATCTTGATTTTTTAAACAATAATCGTAGAGTAGTAGCATATCAGATAATATAAATTGGCATGGTTGACTAAGTTACTCCAACTATTTCGTTAATACTTCCTCAAGCTCAAACTCAAATTCTTGAAAATGAAAGAGAATGGAGGACTAATAAGGTATATTTTCAAATTTCTTATGAATCTTCTCACTTGGAGTTGGGGTGGGGGCAGTTGTTTAACTTATGAATCACTGTGCTTTGTTTTGTTCCTGATTTTTCTCTGGATTTTAAGCTCTGATCTGAGCCAACCATGTACCATAACCGAGAACTTCAAGAAACACAAACAGGAGTTTTCAAGCATTACCTATAACCTGAAAACAGTGATTACACCTTCAATCTCATGCTTATGTTCTTTTTCAAAACATTTGATGAAAGAACTAAAGATCAAAGATATGAAAACATTAAATTTTACCAGTAAATGAAGATGAATTCTTGAACCCAAGCAATTATTTCCTGAAGCCCCCTTTTAACTGCAAAATAAGCATGACTTTAATAGAGACCAGTATGAAACATTTGGTGTTTTTGGAGACTTTGGAAAGTATAAAAGATCATATAAATAACAAGGAAAAGTAATGAATTTTACCTTAAAGGAGTAAATAATGAGGCATTAAAAGAGTAGAAAACAACAAAAATACACAGATATCTTTATAATAAAACATCTACCTGACCCCCCAAAAAACAAAGCAATAACAACAAAACCACTAAGTTCTTGAAAGTACTCTCTTTATTTCAAGCATGTATAGAGTTTCTTGAATTTCACTATACTATTAAAGAATTTACCACAAGTCTTCTTTTACACATCCAAGCTATTTTTATGTCCAATTAATATTCTCATATATTGATTTGCTATTTAATAAAGATAATAATTTCACAATCCTCATTCAACCACAAATCTGCTTAATAAATATTTTACCGTTTTGCTATTGGTATATACAGAGATAGATGTATATAGCTAGAGACATCAGAAATACTTCTAAACAAAGTGTTTTAGTACTTGTTTTAGACATTTTTCTCCCCAAAACAATTGTTTTGTTCTATTGGGGTTTCCTTTGTAGAAAAAGCATCTCTGGCCTGAACTAAATGGTTACTGATTCAAAGGCCAGCATGTTGCTGTTGCTGTATGCCATCGAATTGATTCAGACTTATAGCAACCCTACAGACACATCTAAACCCACTGTCAGGTGACAGCCAGAGCTTAAAGGAAGAAAGAACTAAAATAAATAGCAGAGTTGTAAGGCACCTAATAGAGAAGTTTGATAGGTGCCAGAAGTGGTATATATAGAAGCATTTGGAAGCCTGAGGATATAAAATGGAGTTAATGACCAGAACAAGCAAAGACAGAGGTTTGATCCCAAAGGAAAAGAGCCCCCAAAATGTACATGAAATGAAGAAGAGCATACTCCTAGAATCAAACGCTGATCAGAAATAATAAAGGGGAATGCTATGCCTTTAGCCACTGCGTCTTTTGTCAAAACCAAAAAAAAAAAAAAAAAAAAACCTCACTGCTATCAAGTCCATTCCAACTCATAGCAACCCCCTTTGGGTTTCCAAGGAAGTAAATCTTTACGGAAGCAGACTGTCCAGTCTTCCTTCCGCAGAGTGGCTGGTGGGTTTGAACCAGGCTTCCAGTTAGCAGTCAAATGCCTTAAGCACTATGCCACCAAAGCTCCTTCTTTCATCAAAAGCAAGCCCTAAATAAAAAGGCATTTTTTATTTATCAGGTGATCCTAATATCCCTGGGCTAGTTTCAAGTAGGAAACTCCCCTGGAACCAATCTAAGAAACAACAATCCAATTCCCACGGGAATTACCTTTAATAAAATCAAGTGTAAGGCAATAGAATCACACTACATCCCCAAACTTATTACAACATTTTAAAAAGAAATGTTGCCTTTTCCATAACGCAGCAGAAAGCATCCATTTAATAAGCATATGATTCTCCCCTATATAAAAGTGGAATCTTTCTGAAGTTTCATAAAACACTGGTTCTATTTGAGATTTATATAAGAATAAAATAGCATATTAAGAGAGACTCAAAGTATTTACTATAAAGCAAGACCATTTTAAACTACATATCATTTTTCTTTTTTTTTAACTCTTGTGAAAAAGTGCTTTTCCTTTTATTGACTATGTTGTCGTCGTGTCGGCCCTTTATTGACTATATATACACCATTTTTTCTCTTAAATTATGTGATTAAAATATCATTCACAGCTGCTCTTCAAATCAGCAGTAAATCTGGTATGCTCTTTAGAGTGGATCTGACCAGTAGAGCCAGGTTTGGAACATTTGAAATTGAAAAAAGAAAGGAAAATAATCTGAACGTTCTCTGTGAAAGATCTTTTGGTTAAGGTGCAAAACAAGGCAGAGTTTTTTATTTGGCTGTAAGATCAGGTGGTAGGGAGGAGAGCTGTGTGTGCATACAGAGTAAGTAGGTTAGAAGAGTATGGCAGCCAGAAGCCATCTGGCGTCAGTAGCCAGTAGCCAGGCAGCTGAAAGGAGAGGCAAACAGGTACAGCGAGCATGGAGTTGTACTGTCTTTTAGTGACAGGGTCCAAGGTGGGTCTGAGGATCAGAAATCCAAACTTTAGAAGCAAAATGATTTTAAAATTGCTTGGTAGTGGGTATTAAAGCACTTTGTTTTTCTTGATAATTGAAAAATAATTGAAGACAATCTCTTTAATATGGCAGCCTGAATCAACTGTGCTAAGCAGAAAAGGGCTCCAACTTTGGATTACAGGTAGACTGGGGTTTTAAAAGGAGTTAGCAATAGTGAGGGCAGTGGCATCAAAGTAAACATTTCAGTAAAGGAAAGGGAGAAAGGGAAGACAGAAAAATGTGAGGCTCAACTGTACAACCATCTTTCCACATATTTGGTGAAATCTTCCTGTTAAACTTCTTCTTCAACTTCCCTCACAATTCTCACTTGTATAGGATGACAGAACCGAAGCACTCCCAAGAAATACTAAGTACAATTGCCTCAATTTACTCTCTAGAGACTGATTTAACAAGGGGGGTCTAAAAGGAGGTTTCTATAATACAGAGTTTAAAGAATATTTAAACACTCACCTGTAGGCTTAACTGAATAAAACCCAATGGCCTCTCCTTTCTTCCACAGAATCTTAGCATAATCAGTACTGCTATGACATAGAAATGGGATCTCATTTCTCTCCATTTCCTGTTTTCTATAAATAATTCGATTCAGAACATACAGAACCACTCTCTCCCCAAGAGTGCTCACCTACAAAGAGAGTCAAACACCAGGCACAGCAGTTATAATCGGCATCGATTCAGAGATGCTATTTACTTAGCTCCCTGCTCCCACACCTCAAGCTGACGTTCAAAGCAGCTCTAATACATTTAAAAGGATTTGTAACATTTTATCATCACAGAGCTAAGACCATCATTAATACCAATAATAATCCATTTCTATAGACACACATTACACATGAAATAACACCTCTGAGCAACATTCTAAAGCAGGCCAAAGTGGTTTCCAACGTACCAGTCCTGCCATCTCTCTCCTTTCAGCACTCACGCAGTTTGCTCTCTGCTACCAGCTGCCAGGACCCACGGTCTCCACCTGCTAATTGCTGCCCCACCTCCTGTACTGCTTCTACTGTTTTTCACCCCTTTTCAGACTCAGCATCAAAATAAAAATAAATAAATAAATAAACAGCTTAGTTCTCGCCCCTTAAGGTTTTCAGGATAATTCTCTCACATGATGAGCAAAGCCATAATTATGCTCTTGGGAAAGGAATTTGTCTCACACTTTCAGGCAAAAATGTTCATCTAACAGCCCTATGTGTACTGTCTAACCATAAGGAATACCTCTCTGCCCTCAAAACACACACACACACACACACACACACCTGCTAAGCCAGGTAAGAGGACAGTGGCACCACAGAAGTCTAGTGAAAAAATACTCATGACAGTCATAGAGTAGAAACAGAGTAGTACACTTCCTACACGCAGTGCTACAAGGTCACAAGGAAACCACCCACCTTCAACTTTCTGAGATCAATAGTACTTTTCCCCACACACATCTTTCACTCTTAAAAACAAGAGTTCTGTTCTACTTTCCCCAATCATCCTAAAGAAAGACAAGTTTGCTCATTAGTTAACTGAATGGAAAGAGAAATGATTACGCATATACACATAACTCTAAAAAATATCCCTGGTAGGGGATCTCCCTGAGTACACACACACATGAAACAAGAGTTCACAAGCTCACAAGGCAACCGATTCCATCCTTGGGCAGAAGAATTATAAAATTCTTCCTCATGAGCTGTAATCTAATTTCCCGAGCACTGTACTTTTATACTCTGGAGCATTCCCCAAAAAAACCAAACTCACTGCCATCAAGTCAATTCCAACTCATAGTGACCCCCTTTGGCTTTCCAAGGTGGTAAATCTTTAAAGAAGTAGATTGCCCAGTCTTTCTTCCATGGAGTAGCTGGTAGGTTTGAACCACCAATCTTCTTTCTGGTTAGCAAATGCCTTAGGCACTACACCATCAAGCTCCTTTCTGGAGCATTAGTGCCTACAGATATTTGAAGCCAGCCATAATGTTCTCCTAAATTTCATACCAAAGGTAACGAACAACTGAAGGCAATGGGTAATAATCACAATTTTGCACACTCTCGCCATTCCAGTTCTCTGCTTTGAAAGTGCTCCAGGTTACAGGTATTTCTCCTCATGTCTGGCATGCAGATGTTACAGATATAAACAGTGAAGACACTGCTAAGACAATGGGGCTTTTCTGGGTAAGCTTGCAGTGTTATTATCTTTTTTTTTACTTCTCTTCATTTTACTTCTAATGAACTAAAGCCCACATCATCTTCCAATGTGCTGCTGTTTCAGTTTGGTCTTCATTCTGGACATGCACAGTTAATTTTTTTTAATCTAAGTGTGTTGCTTTAAACTGATCCCTCTTTAATTTTGTCAAGTTGGATCCTTCTCTTTTCTTCTTCTACCTTTCACAGATTCATTGCCCCATTCAGCACTGTGCCATGCACAATTGATAATAAGTATGCAATTTATGTCTTCATCCAAGTAATGAATAAAATGATGGCCAAACCAAAACCAAACCTATTGCAGTCAAGTCGATTCCAACTCACAGCAACCCTTAAAGGACAGAGTAGAACTGCCCCTTTGGGTTTCCAAGGCTATAAATCTCTACAGAAGCAGAATGTCACATATATTTCTCCTGCAGAGCAGCCAGTGGATTCAAACTACTGACCTTTTGGTTAGCAGCAAGCACTTAACCACTGTGCCACCAGGGATCCTCAAAATGATGATGAGGATAAAAAAAGAACAAAGTTTTATAGTATGTTATGGTATTGAAGATCTCTATATAATTGAGCACTATGTTTCAGGCAACAAGGCTATGATCATTATTTCATTATCTCATCTAATTTTCATCACAATGTTATAAGGCAGAAGGAAATGGGTCATATAGAAATAAAATCACTTGTTCAAAGTCTTAAATTTGTTTAATAGAAGAACAGTTACTTCCTCCTGTATTTTACCAATCAACTTTCTTATTGGCCAGGATTTGACAGAAAAGCAGTCTTCCTTCACTGATTTCTCTTACCTCTCAAGAGGTAATGTCATAAAGATAAGTAGGGCTGAACGATACCTGTGGTAGGAGTCCAAACAGCTGTTGTTAGGTGCCGTCAAGTTGGCCCAACTCATAGTTACCCTATGTACAGCGGAAAAAATTCTGTCCTGTGTTGTGCCATCCTTACACTATTTGCTATACTTGAGCCCATCATTACAGCTACTGTGTCAATCCATCTCATTGAGGGTCTTCCCCCTTTTCACTAACCTTCTACTTTACCTAGCATGAATCCTTCTCCAAGGAATGGTCCCTTCTGACAATATGACCAAAGTAGGAGAGATAAAGTCTGGCCACTCTCACTTCTAAGGAGCATTCTAGCTGCACTTCCTCCAGGCCAGATTTATTTGTTCTTCTAGAAGTCCATGGTATGTTCAATATTCTTCGCCAACACCATAATTCAAATACATCAATTCTGCAATCTTCTTTATTCATTGTCTACCTCTCACGTGCCTATGAAGCTACTGAAAACACCATGGCTTGGGTCAGGCCTGCCTTAGTCTTCCATCTTTTTTATTGTTGCTTTTTGACTGCTCTCCTCTCCCTGACAATCAATATGTGAAGTTTCTTCACTTGTGTACAAGCTACCATATACTGTCCTAATAATATTCTCTTTCTGCACTCTTTAATATCTGTACGCTAATGTCCTCCATAATGCATCAAACCTCAATCATACTTTAACACCTCAGGAGATTTATTTTCTTGACATATACGCTTCCTCCTCCATTCACTATCTATCAGATCTGTTCCCAAGAACAAGTTATACTCTTCTACTGCCGTCTCCTCCTCCAATTTCATGGCTTTATGTACCATTTTAAAATTCCTATCTCCTCTTTATTTTTTATTCAAAGTTCTTTCTCCGCCTGGCAAATCTCCAGGTGTAAATATTCTTCCTAGTCTTTGTGAGATGGGTGCATCATTCTGCTCTCAATGCACATTCCAAAAGAATGCATGCAACATCCAGAAGTAACCTATCCAGGGTATTATTCTCACATCTCTCTATTTCTTTCAAAGTTCCAAACTCAAAGGGAAGAAATTAAAATAGCCCAGTAACCTGCAACTCGCTCATTTTTCAGTGCAGGCTTTCATAATCCCCAGGCATGCTTTTCTTATTTCTTCTGATTGTTTCAATTGCCCCAAAAGAAATGGTTGGCACCTTGCAGATCTGACAAGTTTCTACAGACTTGGCCCTTCTAGAAATGGCCTAAAGGAAGAAGACCAGGGTATGTATATATTTCTGTCAACTCTATACTTGTCACAAGGGTCTCTTCCTTTTGGTACTAATTAGCAAAGATCTTCACACTTATTAATTTCTAGGGATTTACCATATTATTCTATAGAGAATGGAGTAGGACTTCTGCAAAAAGTCAGTATTCTCCTGAAGGAAAGTCTAATGCATCTCTACCAAGTCAAAGTTTTCTATCCCTTTACTTCTATTTCTATTGTAAATCAAGTTCTTGCAACTACCAAATATTTCCACACTTTTTAATTCAGCACTGCCTCCTCAAATATTTCACATCTTAGTTTCTGTGGGTTTCCCTCATCCTAACCTATTTACCCTCTAATAACTAAAACATCAGAGAAGTCTCCTAAGCCCTTTCACCTCCCGCATAAAACGCAGCTCCCCTCCTGCAACACTCTTCAGTCAGCTGGCTTCTACCATAATCCTGCCAAGACTAGAGAACTTGCTCTTTCACAAACCTGGTCACTGCTTAGAACATTGTATAGACCATCCAAGAAGGCCCTAAGGAGCAAGTTTCCTGCTCAGTCTGTAAGAGGCAGAGAATCTCAGCATCCACACTTAGAGAATTACCTTTTCCTCTTAGAGTAAGAAAATCAGAAGCTAAAGTTGATAAGGGCCACAGCTCAACCAACCCACAGGTATTCATTCCTCCTCACCCAATTCCCAGACACTTTTAGAATCACATTAAAACAAAGAAGGCCAACTAGAATGTCAGTTACATCATAAGAATGAAATTCAGAGGGTTTAATATAACCTGGTTATATTAAAATGAAGATGAGCTCAGTAACTTACAAAATCATCACTGTTTATGGGAAACATATTGTGAAATGGCCTCATAAGAAAAACTTGAAAAAGTATAGAATCTTGTTACCTGTTTAAGCCCTTCTCTAGAAGGGACAGATGTTTTCACAATATCATCAACAGCCCACCACTGATCAGCAAGGTAAAGAGCCACAGCTGAAACAGAGTAAAGGATTATTAACATTTAAGTCTTAAGTCTAAATATTTAGCAAGTAAGGTCTATAGAGATACCCTTACCCATATTTTATAATACAATGTGGTCCCATTTATATCAGTTTTATTTTATGTCACCCATTAAGCATTTAATTTTAACAAATGAGAATTAGATGTACCTAAAAATGCAGTTTGAAACAAGTTCTTTTAAAAACAAATTCCTCCAGGTGACTACCTTTTAATAAATTTCTAACAGAAGAAAAAATACCTCATTTTACAAAAGTTAATCATAACAAAGACCTGTGAGTGAGTCCTCAGGTGCAAAAAGAGCAAGAATTTTCTGGGTCTGATCTCCACCATACAGAGGCACAAAGCCTACATTTGACAGGCTGATAGGAATCTGAAATGACAATCAAAGAATAGTGAAGAGTCTATTAAGAAAACACATGACAAATTATTAAACTTTTCCTACATTAGCTGTAGGAGCTCTGATAGCATAGTGCCTAAGGCACTTGACTGCTAACCAGAAGGCTGGCAGTTCAAACCCACCAGCCACTCCTCGAAAGGAAGGTTGGGCAATCTACTTCTATAGTGATATCACCTCGGAAACCCAAGGAGGGGTCGCTATGAGTTGAGTCCGACTCAATGGCACACACAACAACAAAACATTAGTTCTATCATCTCATTTAATTGAAGATAATATTGTTAGTCTCTAAACAAAGAACAAATTTAGATAGACTTCCCTTTTGAAGGAATATTATTGTCTTGAAAAAGACACTTATTTCAATAAATATTACTCTAGCTAGCCATACGTATGAATAAAACCAAAAAGCTGCAATTGCTGTTGTTGTTAGGTGCTGTAGTGTCATCTCAACTCTTAGCAACCCTGTGTACAACAGAACGAAACCCTGCCTGGTCCTGCACCATTCTCACAAACGCTGCCATGTTTAGTCCATTGTTGCAGCCACTAAGTCAATCCATCTCTTTTGAGGGTCTTCCCCTTCTTTGCTGACCCTCTACAACACATGATATCCCTCCCCAGGAACTGGTCCCTCTTGATAACATGATCGAAGCTGCAATACAGCCTATAAAAAACCAAAAATACCAAACTCACTGCCATCGAGTTGTTTCCAACCCAAAGGTTATAAATCTTTACAGAAGTAGATCGTCCCATCTTCTTTCCATGGAGCAGCTGATGGGTTTGAACTGCTGATCTTCCAGTTAGCAGTCAAGTGTCTTATCCACTACGCCACCAGAGTTCCTAGGCCTATAAAGTCATTCTAAAATAGCCATACTCTATCATCTGTTATTTAGACTACTGAGGAGAAAAATATTCATTTTCTACTAAAAGAAGCCATTTAAACAAATTTCTTTTTCCAGCATGATACAGGCAGTACTTTAAAATTATTCTTTCTTTAATCCAACATTAATTCCCCTTATAGGCAATATTACAATTCAGAGAATTATAAAATATTAGTGCTGGAGAAGACTTTAAAGGATCAGTTAGGGAATTTGCCTATCACCAAGTCACAGTAACTCTACTGATTCCAAGTTTAATGATCTTTCTATGTTGTTGTTGCTGTTATATGCCGTCAAGTTGGCCCCAACTCATAGCAACCCCTCCTTGGGTTTCCGAGGCAGTATCACTCTGGAAGTAAATTGCCCCATCTTCCTTCCGAGGAGTGGCTGGTGGGTTTGAACCGCCAGCCTTCTGGTTAGCAGTTAAGTGCCTTAGCCACTATGCTACCAGAGCTCCCTGATCTTTCTATAAGTAAGCTATATAATAGCGTACTAATTAGAAAATTTGATTTTACTAGTTTTAAAAATGGAAGTAAAGAGTCATGACAGGAAAATGTATAACTTAGTGTTCTGCTGATATTTTTTAATTAAAAAATATTTATAAATTCATAAATTCTGAATCTTAAGTAAATTTAATTAATTTAGCTCAAATATGGCAACCAGGCTTAGCAAAACTGGTCAGCTGCTTATACATAATTTAAAAAGCATAAGACAAATAATAAGCAATAACCTGTGGAGTCTGTCTGTTTAAAAACTGATCATGAAGCTATGCTAAACAACAAATATTTATCCATTTTACTGAACAGATTTCTGATAAAGATTTCAAAAATGAATGATTATCACTTAAAAATAATAAAAAAAGAGCACTGATTTCATGAATGAACTTGACTGAAAAAGACTGAATAAAATCACTGCAGAAGCCTTACCGTAATATTGAGAAAAGAAAAACATTCTGGATTTTCAGGGTCCCCACACCTGAGGTCTGACATGTAATCTTCAGCAGAAGTTTCCAATTCCTCATGACTGCAATTATCCAGCAGATCAACAGGGAACACCATTGTCTTTAACAAACATAGGACAAAATTATTCAAAATCTAAAAGGCCAACTTCCTTTACTAATAGAAAAATGACTTATTGTAATATTGCAGTATTTTATTGTTAAGAAGATTTCTCTATTTCATCATACAACGACAGACTACAGTTTGAGCCAGCTGATTTAACCACATGTCTAAACGAGAATTTTTTTAAAAGTATTCATTCATACTAACAGCAGGCAATCAAAATAGAAATTCATGGATACCTCCTTAAATCCTTAAATGAATGAGCTCTGACGGTACAGTGGTTAAAAGCACTGGCTACTAACCAAAAGGTCAGCAGTTCAAACCCACCAGCAGCTCTGTGGGAAGAAAGATGAGGCAGTCTGCTTGCATACAGATCTCAGCCTTGGAAACCTCATGAAGCAGTTCTACTCCATCCTGTGGAATTGCTATGAGATGTAATCAACTCGACAGCAATGGGTTTTCTAGGTATAGAATGTACATATATACACATATAAACAAACATATGAATATATTCTCAGATACCCTTCAATGTAAAAGTTTATAAAAAGATACTTTTAAAATTTGTTAAGGGGAGACTTTTTGGAATGACAGAAATGTTTTACAACTAGATTGGGATGAAGGTTGCACAACTATAAATGTACTTAAAAAAACACTGACGTATACAGTTCCAATGGGGAATTTTATGGTATATAAATTACATCGCATACATACAGAGCTGTTTTAAAAAAAAAAGCCAGCATCTTGATAGGAAAACATTTGAAGCTTTCTCATTAAAGCCAAGAAAAACAAGGACTCCAATACTATATAGCATTGTGCAGGTATTAGCCAATGTGATTAAACAAGAGAAAGCAATCAGAAGGCATAATAATCAGGAACTAGGGTAGAGGAGCTCTGGTAGCATAGTGGCTAAAGCACTTGACTGCTAACCAGAAGGCTGGCGGTTCAAACCCACCAGCCACTCCTCAGAAGGAAGGAAGGTTGGGCAAAGGCTGGCGGTTCAAACCCACCAGCCACTCCTCAGAAGGAAGGAAGGTTGGGCAATCCTACTTCCGTAGTGATACTGCCTCGGAAACCCAAGGAGGGATCACTATGAGTCGGGGCCGACTCGACGGCACATAACAACAACAACAGGGTAGAGGAGAAGGTGAAAATACCTCCACCTCAATTTCTCACTAATGTGATTATTTAATTGGAAAACCCAAAAGAATCAATGAAAAGAAAAACTATTCCAAACAAATTTAAGACATTAGTAAAATGGCAGGATATAAAATTAACATATAGAAAATCAAAAGTTTTCATCTACACAACAATGACCAGTAAGATGGGCTCAGGTATAGCAAGGATTGTGAGGCTGGCTCAGGACAGGGCAGTGTTTCATCCTGTTGTACATAGAGTCCCTATGAATTGGAGCTGACTCAACGGCACCTAACAACACACAATAACAACCAGTAAGAATAATGACCAGAAAAAGAAAGGAAGTGAGAATAAGAAAGAAGACCTTATTTACAAGAAATAAAAATAAAATAAAATAGGCTTAAATTTAACAACAACAACAAAAAAAAAAAAATACAAAGCCTGCATGAGGAAAACAATAAAACATTCCTGAAGGAAGCAGAAGTGAACAACAGGAAAGACAAACTATGTTCTTGGAAAGGAAGAGTTGACGTTATAAAAACACCAATTCTCCCTAAGATAATCTATTGATTTATTGCAATTCTTTTCCTGAAGCAAGACAAGTTTATTATCAAGTTAATTTGAAAAAATAAACAAGCAAGAATAACCAGAAAAATCCCTGAAAAAGCAAAGTAATGATTGGGGGGAAGATGTTAGTCCTATCAGATATTAAAGCGTCTTATAAAACTTCTTTGGAGCTCTGGTGGCGTAGAACCTAAGGCACTTGACTGCTAACCAGAAGGCTGGTGGTTCAAACCCACCAGCCACTCCTCAGAAGGAAGGTTGGGCAATCTACTTCCGTAGTGATACCTCCTCGGAAACCTGAGGAGGGGCCACTATGAGTCGGATCCAACTCCATGGCAATGGTTGTGTTTTTGTTTGTTTGTTTGTTTTTTTAAAAAAAACCATTAGCTCTGGCAGAGAACTGCCTATGGCACTTGACTGCTAACCAGAAGGCTAGCGGTTCAAACCCACCAGCCACTCCTCAGAAGGAGGGTTGGGCAATCTACTTCAGTAGTGATACCACCTCAGAAACCCAAGGAGGGGTCGCTATGAGTCAGATCCAACTCGACGGCAATAACAATAACAGTAGTACGGGAGAGCACTTGAGAAAACACTGTACTCTACCTATGGTGCTTGGTATAGACAGCAAATAGGTCTTGACTATTTTACAGATAAAGACACTGTTATAGATCGAGGGCAAGTAGAACATGACTACTAAGCTAAAAGTGTGAAAACAGAATCGATTATCCTTCATTCCTGAACCTTTTTTAGTCTGAAGAATTTAATAAGAAAAAATAGCTCTGCACTTATTTTTATGATTGTTGTTATGTGCCGTCGAGTTGGACACGACTCATAGCAACCCCTCCTTGGGTTTCTGAGGCAGTATTATTATGGAAGTAGATTGCCCCATCTTCCTTCTGAGGAGTGGCTGGTGGGTTTGAACTGCCAGACTTCTGGTTAGCAGTCAAGTGCCTTTAGGCACCACGCTACCAGAGCTCCTATTTTTTTTATGATTAGTCAAATATTGTTCTTCATAATTCTTTTCTTATAGACAAAATGAATCAATCCAGTTTCCCTAAAGTCTTACAATTTAGATACCATATATTCTTATATAAAAGACCATTCATTACTGGGGAGAAAAACTTTGCTTGCTTAGAAGTTGCAAGTTCTGAATACATTAAAAATAAAGTCGGAATCAATCCAATGGCAGTGGGTTTGGTTTGGGTTTATATTCATCATAATTTTTAAAACAAAAAAATTTACAAAATATTTCTCTAATTCCAAAGGCCCAACCTTTGTCTATATGGACACACACATACACACAGAGTAACACACACACACACACATCTAAAGTACTTTCATGTTTGCAAATCTTATCTGTGAATCCATTGCTCTTATTACTGATCACTCTCCACGTCAAGTTCTATTGGCTAAATAATCATGTAATCGAATCTAAAGGAAGATGAAAGAACTCAAAATTATTATCCATCAGTAAACAGCAGCAGATAACATGTAACAGGCTTTAAGAAACTGTCACACTGAATATATGAGGTATTTCTACTAGCCCCATTTTATAGATAAACAAACAGAGCTTTAGAGATGAGATATTTAACCAACATCACACCATTCCCACTCACTGCCGTGGAGTCAATTCCAACTCAAAGCGACCCTACAGGACAGAGTAAAACTGCCCTATAGCATTTCCAAGGCTGTAAATCTTTACAGAAGCAGACTGCCACATCCTTCTCCCCCAGAGTAGCTGGTGGCTTCAAATCACCCTTCAGGTTAGTAACCAAAAACTTAACCACTGCAACACAATGGCTCCTTTACCACACTCACTAAACTCAAAACTCACTGCCATTGAGTCAGTCCTGACTCATAGCAACCCTTCCTTGGGTTTCTGAAGCAGTATCTCTACAGAAGTAGATTGTCCAGTCTGGGCTAAAAGAATATGAACGTGACAATCAGATCTATCTTCCAATATAGTAATTCTAACTGAATAGGTAAAATCAAATATCAGTATTTATGACGGTGGTATGAATTCTGTAAAATTCTGTTCTGGTTACCTAGTGCCGCTCTGACAAGAAATATACCACAAATGGGATGGCCTTAACAAACAGTTTATTCTTACAATTTGGAGGCTTTAAGTCCAAGTTCAAAGTGGGACTGGGTGAAAGCCCTTCAACTTTGGGGTCCAACTCTGCCTCCTGCTCCCGGCCCACTGGAGCTAGAGGTGTTTCTTCACTCAGACAGCTGCTGGCTGCTGAGGCTGAGAAGCCCCAAGGTTGACAAGTAAAAAGGCACAACCCCGATGTTACCAAACCACACGGCAGGCCATTAACTTAAGTCCATTGTAAGTCCAAGGTTGGCAGAGCATAGCAGGCTGCTGAGCAATGACACAGCTACATGTAGGGTTCAAGCGTGCCATAGGCTAGAGACCATTTTCAAAATTTCTCCTTATATACAAGAAGCAGACCACATACCCAAAGGCAGCTAGCTACTCAGCTGCTCATAGTAGATTCCACCATGGAGTTGATTACCAGTCTCATCATGGGGAATACTACATCCAGATGCCCAGCCACTCAACCAGGCCTAGCCAAGTTGACACACAAACATAATCACAAATTTATAGTCATTATTTTACTATTAGATATCTACGCACATATTACACCAGACAGAGCACTAGAATTGGAATTCTGTGACTTTGACTCCTGTTCACTTCTGCCACTAACTAGTTGTGTAACACCAGAAAAGTCTTCTGTATTCTCAGGCTTCTGTATTCTCACTGGTAATGTGATGCAAATGGCCAGATAACCCCAAATTCCTTTTTACCTCTAAACGGACCTGTTTAAAAAGATTTCACTAACTTGTGGCTGTTGTTAGGTGCCCTTGAGCCACTATGTTGTACATAGCCACCCTATGTACAACAGAACAGAACACTGCTGGGGCCTATGCCATCCTCACAATCATTGCTATGTTTGAGCCCACTGTTCCAGCAATTGTGACAATCCATCTCACTAAAGGTTTTCCTCTTTTTCACTAACTCTCTACTTTACACCAAACATGATGTCCTCCAGAGACTGGTCTCTCTTGATAACATGTCCAAAGTATGTAAGATGAAGTCTTACCATCCTCCCTTCTAATGCACATTCTGACTTTTTTTTTTTTCTGACTATATTTCTTCCAAGGAGGTCTGGTAGCATAATGCCTAAGGCACTTGACTGCTCACCAGAAGGCTGGCGGTTCAAACCCACCAGCCACTCCTCGGAAGGAAGGTTG